AAGAAGTTATGCAACATTTCGTCACATTGTTCGCTGCATGTTGATTATGGACATATTTGGTTGGATTTAATAGATTTTTAGATATTTCAAAACAATCTTATTGACATTCATAAATGTATCAGCATCAATGTTTTATCATGTATATCGGGATTCAGACAATAACTCTGAAAGATACACTCAAGAACAAAACTTATGGAAGTTTTACCTTTTAGCTTGTATATCGGGATTCAGACAATAACTCTGAAAGATATACTCATGGACAAAACTTAAGGAAGTTGTACCTTTTAGCATGTATATCAGGATTCAGACAATAACTCTGAAATATACACTCATGGACAAAACTTAAGGAAGTTGTACCTTTTAACATGTATATCAGGATTCAGACAATAACTCTGAAATATACACTCATGGACAAAACTTAAGGAAGTTGTACCTTTTAGCATGTATATCGGGATTCAGACAATAACTCTGAAATATACACTCATGGACAAAACTTAAGGAAGTTGTACCTTTTAGCATGTGTATCGGGATTCAGACAATAACTCTGAAAGATACACTCATGGACAAAACTTAAGGAAGTTGTACCTTTTATCATGTATTTCGGGATTCAGACAATAACTCTGAAATATATTACAGTGACCTTTATTGAAGACATACGAGATAACCAAGTGTGAACAAAATTGCCTCTGTGTCTTTCAATAATACAGAGAAAAAAAACCACAGGCATAATCAAAGACTTTCCACTTTCTTAGGTTTGGCCATGAATGTGAATATAATTAATGAAAAAGTAATAAATTTGTAACTTAGAAATTAGAATAAAGCTTATAGCCACTTGCTGAATATTTTTCTCTGTTTATACTACTATATATGAAGTATTCGCCATATGAGTTAAAATATTCTAAATATTTCTGATTACTTATTATTATTATTATTTTTGCTTATAATATAAAAATATTGTAACAATAATTTTCTGACCTTGTGTATTTCCTTTCAATAATATCATCAAATTATATCTCTACAGATCTTTCTGCAATGATAAAAGTTGTTAAATGAGAAGTTTTTGTTCCTCAAAAGTGAACCCTCGGCAAATTAATTTGGGGAAACTGCTGAAAGGTTTTTTTTTGGCTTACCCTTAGTACATCTGGTACAGGCCATGATAATCATTGTGGGTAGAAATTGGCGACTGCTTTTACTGTATGTGCACCACATGTGAAAAGCAGTTCGACTTTGCACTTACAAATGTGCCAGAGCTCTGTAAGCTGAAAGGGTTTATAATTGATGAGCTAAACCTTCTCATTCAACAACTTTTATCATTATAGTAAGGTCTGTAGAGATAAAATTTGATGATATACATGAAAAGATAAACACATATTGCCAGAAAGGTATTTTTGCAAATTTTATTGATAGATACAGAATATCAGCCCGTTGAAGAGCAGTCAGTATATTGTGGCGAAGAAATATTTTATTATTTAATTTAATATTATTCAATGAAAATATATTCAACAGATTATAAAAATATATATTAATCTGTATTTGTGAAATCATCTTTAAAATATTTCTTTGCTTGCTTGCTTAAGATTCTCTAGCGGTAAATAGTGGGGGCTGACCTGTTAATAATTGTCGACTCGTCGCTGTGACGTCATCAATAAATACTTTTATATCTTAGGATATTTCAAGGCTTGATTTCTACGTTACAACTGGTGGAGAAGCTGGACCGATACCCATTAAGAAATAAAAGAAAAATTGATTCTGTTGAACCAGAAGAAACTTCTATGAATGTAAAGAAGGAAGGTACCCAGGTAAGCAACTACGTTGTTCAACATCTGCCAAGGAACCCTTCCATTTTCTCCGGGGAGGATGGTGAAGATCTCCAAAAATGGTTAAAAGGGTATTCACGTGTGGCAAAGTACAACCATTGGGATGAAACCCTTTGTCTTACTAAAGTTTATTTTTATCTTTCTGGAACTGCTCTCAAATGGTTTGAGAACAACGAAGAAAGCATCCAGACTTGGAAGGAATTCACATCTCAATTAGAGAATGTGTTCGGAAAAAAAGAAAATTCAAAATTGCAAGCGGAGAAGAAACTTAAAATACGGGCACAATTAAAAGGTGAAAGTACTGAATTTTACATCCAGGATGTCCTGTGCTTGTGCAAAGAGGCTGATCTTCAAATGAGCGAGGAAGATAAAATCTCCCACCTCATGAAGGGGATAGCTGAAGAGCTTTATCAAGCACTCCTACCGAGGGATGTACAGAGCACCGAGCAATTCATTACAGAATGTCGCCGTGTCGAAGCGCTCCGTTGTAGGCGAGTTACCCCAACCTGGTTCGAGCGCCTACCAAATGTAGCCTCTCTCTGTGACCAGGATGACGGAGAAGATCTGTCATCGCTGATCCGAAAAATTGTTCGTGAAGAGATACAACAAGCATTGGACTCTCCTCATGAGGAGCCTAAAATCGCTGTCATTGAAGATTTAGTGAGGGAAGAGATTGTAAAGACCTTGGCACCTAGATCAAAACCTACAATAAGTCCCCCTCAATCATCCAGGCCGGAATCAAATACTAGATACGAGGCCCAAACGATACGACCGCATCCTGAACCTCATTACCGAAAGCAAGGAAAAAGATGTGACACCAATGAATGGCGGACAACTGAGGGAAAGCCAATCTGTTTCTACTGCGGACGCCCAGGTCACGTCGTCCGCTATTGCCGCGACAGGAAGAGACACAATGAGGAGAGGAGAAATGAATATTTCCGAAGAAAGCAAGACGCAATGGAATTCTACAACTCTCAAACCGAATCTCAGGAACCCAACGATGAATCATCGAGGAAAAATTTCAGTCGCTACCGAAGCCCTACCCCATACATCGGCCGAAACAGACCAAATTTCTCACCTGCTAGAAGATCTAGCTGGTCGCCCCGCCATGAAAATTAGATGATAGACCATATTGGAGGTGAGGCCGCAAAGTTAGGAAATCCTACCTTGCCGACCACAGTATAAATAGGAAAAACTACATTGACGTAAATATAGACCTGCCAAGCCCTCAGGAAGAAGACATCTCAACTGAAAGAAGACATCCACCGCAGTCACCTGAAAATATCCCTGGCCCTAGTACTATGTAGTTATTGAGACTGACGACGTAAGTCTCCTGCTGAGCATCGGGTCGATGCTTTTTATAGGAGGAGGCTATGTGGCGAAGAAATATTTTATTATTTAATTTAATATTATTCAATGAAAATATATTCAACAGATTATAAAAATATATATTAATCTGTATTTGTGAAATCATCTTTAAAATATTTCTTTGCTTGCTTGCTTAAGATTCTCTAGCGGTAAATAGTGGGGGCTGACTTGTTAATAATTGTCGACTCGTCGCTGTGACGTCATCAATAAATACTTTTACATCTTAGGATATTTCAAGGCTTGATTTCTACGCTACAATATTTACTTGAAAGCTTGCAAATTTAAATTAAAATAAACTTTTTACCTGATATTTATTTTTACTTTTTCAAATAAATTTTGGGCAACTATTGTTCACATTCACATATATTAAAAATAAAAAAGGCATCTCCTGACCACGAGCACATGTGCTTTTTAGATGGCAGAGCGCCATCTAGTGGAGCAAAAATAAACTAAACGTTTATTTAGCTTGCTCCGTGATATTTGGCCAACCCAATTTCTTGATAAATCAAGAAAAGCCATCCACGAACGCGTTTCGCGCTTTTGGCGCTCGTCAGCGTGGAGTAGGCTGAACCATTGCGACCAAAAAAAGATTTTTTGATCCCAATGGCTTCCTGAAAAACCGAGAATATATAAAGATATAAATATATAAGTATTAAATAAAATATTTTGTTTTATTTTAGATTCAAAATATGCCTTTTAATTAATATATAAACAATTTTTAAATAAAAAAAAAACAAAGCTTAGGCGCACACGTTAAAAAAAAGGGAAATATGTACAACTCACCGATTAATTCTATGATTTTATTAAAAAAGAAGGCCAGCAACCCTGCGGTGGTAGAGGAAGTGGCAGAATTTCCTGTTCCTCTCTGGCGACCTCCAATTATTTCCCACCTGGGGTATGATGATTCCATCCGTGGAATTCCACTCTGGTACTGTAAACAAACACTTTCCTACTGGCATTGATTATAAGACATCTTTGACGATTTGAAACTATTATAGAAACTACATTTAATAAGTTTTACCGCAAATGTTTCTTTTTACACACTCAGAACTAAAAATCATCATTTTAATACCTGCGCCCTCTAGTCTATAAAAAGGGAGCCAAAAGCTTCCCCATTTGCACTAGGTGCAAAACCAAAACGGCCACTCCCCAACATATACTAAATTGTATTGGAAAGGACAAAGGATCCCTATACAGAGAACCAGGAAAAGTTCTTGAACTTCTTTATGAGCACGACCTCCAAGATCTTTTCTAATTTAGACTAATAAAAGGATAAGTAAAAAAAAAAGTTAATTTTAATTATTTTAAGAAGAAATAACGACTATTCCTATCCTTATGATTCTTTTAAAAATTAAAATATAAAAGTGTTATTAATTATTAATAGGCTAATCCCCTAATAGAATGTTCAAATCAATAAGCTTGAGGGATGAGTATCTTTTGTATTACAAAAGATACTTATGCCTCAAGCTTATTGATTTGGACATAACAGTGTTATGGTAGATTAAACTGGCGAAACCGCTGGGAGGGTTCAACACTGATGAGCCAGGCCCTTACATTTATTTTTTTCATTGCAGTAAGGGCAGTAGATATAATTGTTTCATTTTTAAAAGAATCATACGCTTCTATAATAATACAATATAATGTAGCTATGATTATAGAACGACACGTTTGACAAGTTTTACCGCAAATGTTTCTTTTTACAAGACGAAAAATCGTAATTTATTTTAAGGAGAAATAATGACTATTCCTATCCTTAGGGATGAAGTATGAAAGGATGAAATTTTGAAGAGTAATGATGAACGGAAAAATAAAAGTGTCCAAGGATAGGTAGCCTAGTGGACATGGCATCTGCCTGGTAAGCGGAACACTGGGGGTTCCCATCCCTGGACACTTTTATTTTTCCGTTCATCATTAATCTTCACAATTCATCCTTTTATACTTCATCTCTAAGGATAGAAATAGTCGTTATTTCTCCTTTAAATAAATTTCGATTTTTCGTTCTGTAAAAAGAAACATTTGTGGTAAAACTTGTTAAACGCCGTTTTATAATCATAGCCGCATTGTATTGTACTATTATTATAGAAGCGTGTGATTCTTTTAAAAATTAAACAATTTCTACTGCCCTTACTGCAATGGAAAAAATAATAGAAGGGCCTGGCTAATCAGTGTTGAACCCTCCCAGAAGTTTCGCCAGTTTAATCAACCATACCGCTGTTATAATTTAATATTTAAAAGAATCATACGCGTCTATATTAGTTACGAATTCCCATAACAGATGGCGCTGATGTATCAAAATATAAGACAGTTTGCAGAAGAGCATTGCTCTATGCAAATACATCTTTATTTACATATAATTCTACTGTCGTAAAAGCTTATGTCCATAGTTTACTTTAATACCATTTCTAAGATTCCACTCTCCATTGTAACATATAAAAGCAGAATGATCCAATACATGGGACTTTGATTCCAGTAAAAGGCTTGTTGCTGCTGTTGTATATAGTCACAGTGTAGAAAATACTATACTATACCTACTACATATAGGTTTCTCTCTGTATTCTTAGTTCTCTTCTCTAACTCTGTAAACTGGCGAATCCTTTATAGGACGAGAGGTCCTCAATAAAGGCTTTTTGTTGTTGTTGTGTAGAATGATCCAATACAGTATTAGAGCTCTAAGAAGCAGTCTGGTAGATTGAATTAGCAAAATCGTTGAAAAGGTTCAATACTGATGAGCCAAGCCCTCCCAATATATTTTTTCATCACAATAAGGACAGAATGTTTTATGTTTAAAGGAAGCTTTCGTGATCTAATCCTTATAATTGTTATTATTTTATCTCACTGCCCCCTTCATTCTTTGCTGGGTCTTCCTATTTTTTGATATACACTTAAACCGGTCTATAGCGCCCCCTCTAAATAGCCCCTTCCTATCTATAGCGCTCGATTTTAAACATTAAAATGTAAACATTTTACATTAAAATTGACCTGTCTATAGCACCCTATTTTAGTGAGTCCTAAGAGGGGGGCGCTATAGACAGGTTTAGCTGTATTTTGCTACTCAGTAAACTTCCCTCATAGCTTATCTTTTGTTTATCATTCATAGTTTGTTCTTGTCTATATCTATATATATATATATAAATGAATGTTTGTATGTTTGTCTGTTTGTTTGTTTGTTGGTTTGTATGTCCGGTATACAAATTCGCAGTAGTTCACTATTTCAAACCAAAATTTCCATACATAGGTAAAAAATAACGGGGATGACGATAGGCTATTTTAAAAAATATATAAATCAATTATTAAAACTATATATTCAAATTTTTCTACTTAGCTCACGAGCAGCGCCCTCTAGAACACTCAGGCGTCCTGCTGGCGGCGCGCGCCCGTTGGCTGCCGGCGAGCACGTGACTTCCCTGTGCGCGCGCATGGCGGGCGGTCGCGTGGGCCCTCGCCGACAGCCATGCGCGCGCACAGGGAAGTCACGTGCTCGCCGGCAGCCAACGGGCGCGCGCCGCCGGCAGGTCACCTGAGCGTTCTAGACGAGAAGCTTTTTCTTAATTACAATGCAAGTCCTTAACTATATTTACAGGTTTTCTAATTTATAACTATTTCACATATTTACATATATATTTTCATTTTTTGCTATAACTGATCTAATTCGCCATTTAAAATAACTGCTCTTGCTATATTTGCTATGTTTTATGTGTTTGAATACTACATTTAATCATGTAAACCCGGGCGTTGCCCGGGTCATTCGTCTAGTATATATATAAAATTGAATGTCTGTCTGTCTGTACTCTATAGATTCAAAAACCATACATCCAATCGCCGAGAAATTTTGGAATATTATTAGGTATATCCCCGGGAAGGTTTTTGAAAAATAATTTTTTGAATATCTTGAATATCCTTAGAGTTATTTTCAGATTTATAGATTTAACTCGCAAGCAGCGCCACCATTGCGAGGATGATAACAAGTTTTTTATCTATAAGTTTTATTATCACTAAGTTTATTATCTTAAAGATTATTTATCAAAAGTAAGATTATCTCAGGATGACACGGCAATTTATTTGAGACAAGAATAATGATACAATTCCAAGGCGAAGATACTATTCCTTTAACTTCCAATTACCGAGGGAACCAATTAATATTGATTTTATTCAACTTATCGAGTATTTTTCAAGGGACCGGGAAAAAATGTTCACTAGATAAAACGATGATTTTGTAATGTAGAAAATTAGGAAAGCCAAAATTCAGGATGACACGGCACACAGGGACCGGGAAAAAATGTTCACTTTATCGAGAGATTCAAATTTACGAGTTTCAAATTATCAAAATATATCTATTATTTTTTTTAAATAAGTTTATAGATAATTGTTTTAACAAATGTTCGTTAGACAAACCTTTACTCGGGTAAAACCCCGGGCGAAGCCGGGTACATCCGCTAGTCTTAAATAAATTTCTGTGTCATCTTGAAGTTTGTCTTCCCTAATTTTCTACGTGGCAATATGTCATTCTTTACCCGTAGAAAGACATCTTGTCCGAAAGCTTGTACAATCATCCTCTTATAAAAAGAATTTCTTCTCCCGTCTTGTGTTTCTTTTTATGGGATTGTAAAGCTAAGTTTCCTTATTTGATAGTTAATTAAATATTGTCATAATGGCAGGTAGGATTGTCCAAATGTGATTGGTTGTAACGATCAAGTAGAACGTACGATACAACTTGATAGCACTTTGATTAACCTTAATTTGAAATGACGTCATTCAGGATCATCCTGATTGGTCAAGGGCGAGGTGACGTCATAGGAGTAAACAGGAAGTATTGCCAGATTAATCTAATCGGATAGAATTAGGAAACATCCTCTGTGACATCAATTTTTACAACAGAGTAAGTTGACGATAGTTTTTTTTATAAGATGTCTATAATTAAATTGAGACACCCTTACTAGCAAAGAACAAACGGCGATTTCAAGATTACGAACAGGACATCTTAGAATGCTAGTGAATCTAGTGAATTTGAGGACTAAGATATCAACTTTACTAAAGATTGCTATTACTAATTCTATATAGTATGTATTATTAGTTGACTATTTTTTAGCAATTCTATTGTTATTTTAAGACAAAAATTATTTTTTTCCATCCACAAACAAGGAATAACCTCTCTCTGGAAATCCACCCTAAACCACCCCTGGTACACCCCCATTCCTAACGAATCTTCTTTCCACACCCTTACTAGGGAAGACCAAACGGCGATTTCAAGATTACGAACATCTGAGAATGCTCAAATTTGATGGAAAAATCAAAACATTCCTGAAATTATCCCAAATGAGATTCCCAACCAGCCAACCCTGAACATCTATTGAATTGTATCAAATCTTTCGAAAAGACCTCTGGGAAAACCCCAGGACTATAATAGAAAAGCTGAGACAATGGGACTTAATGGAGATCGTTTAAACGACTTGAGGAATAAACAACAACAACAATATAATTAAATTTACCGTTAACAAGCGGGTAGTTGGCGATCTATAGATACTTCAAGGAACCTGGGTTACCTTTATGTTACTTTCTGTTAACAACGATAAAATGTTGAACTTAATTTTCACCTTCACGAATAAAACTGTGTTTTCTTATCTCTATTATAATAAAAAAGAGAAAAAATCTGTTGTTATTTCATTAACTATTGTATCAATATACATTAAATCTTTTTGGTTAAATAAAAAGATATACTAGTCAAAGTGTCTTTAATTCTAAAATTATCTTAATTGTCAAATAGATCATTCAAGAAAGGATTTCTGTTAAATTTGCATAAGTGCTAAAGAACAATGCAATGTTGGATTATACATATCCCAAAGAGAATAGGGGAGAAGTTGAACTGAGAAATATTAAAAGAAAACAATCAGAAAGTCCATCTTAGAAAGTCCAAGGGATTATAAGATCTTGTAGGATTAAATCCTCGGGTTTGGGACTACCGGATTTCCTCGGGATTTTGCTCCTGATGGAGGATTTTGTCTTAAAGTCCATATTTTCTTTTAGATGATGTCCGCCGTGAGATCTTCATGTAAGAATGGAATTGTGGGCGGTGTGTTTACCTTAATGGATATTTATTTTATGGTATTGGTGAAAGTTTAATTTGCATATGTCGGACATATATACATACTCTCTTCAAAATATTTCAAATATAAATACATCATACAAAGTATCGTCTGTGTATTTAAAATCAAAATATTTTTATATTTATAAAAGATGCATATATTGGATTTCTAAATATTTTTATTGTTCCAATATTTCGAGGGACAACTCGCCTCTCTTTATCAAGGATGTTTGTGTTTTTTACAAAAACATGCTATCACGCGTACACCACTCTCGTTCTACAAGGTCAATGAAAGAATTGTATCTTTGATTTAAATATTATAATCAGTATATATACAGCTTATAATTATATCTTCTTATATATAAAAGTCAATGTCTGTTGTCTGTTTCGCGATAAACTCAAAAACTACTGAACTAATTGGTACCAAATTTTGCATGTCGCTTTTTATGAACCTGAAGAAAATTTTCGGCTACATTCTGATTAGTATTTTTGGCTATTTATTTTTTTCATTTGAATATCTTTTTTTTTTACGCGGAGTAAATACGAGGCGAAGTAACAACACCAGGCCAATTAATCGACCAATGAGCGTTCTGCATTTTTTTTCAAGTTTGCATACTTTTTTTGAAATATCTTTTTATACGAGTGTTACTTTTGAAGGAAATTGCACTCGGGGGAATTCTCGGGCGAAGCCGAGTCATTCGTCTAGTATATTATATATTAACACCATTATTATTGTGTTATCTCTACATACGAGTATATATATTTACCACAGTGTAATTATAAACAATTGTGTATATATATAATAATTATT